AAAGAGCCTGAATTTCAAAATACCTTCAATTCTGAAACCATATTGCAGCCATACCCCCAACTTTTAGCTTCTAGTGCAGTGTGTAATAAGCTTTAGATATATTGTTCTTGATGCCAAAATTTTGAAAAGCAGAAACATTTTAAATTCCCAGTACTCGGAGTGACTGGGTCCAAAGTAAGCTGTCATTGTTACTGAATGCCACCAAGTCAGTTTCACAGCATCATTCCCTTTTTTCTCAAAGGAAGCCCAGCACAGTGATATGCCCAAGCTTGGGATCTACTTAGCTCTACCACAGTAAGCCTGGACAAATTTATTTCTCCAAGTTCTCTGTTAAAAAGTTGGGAGTTTGTTCTGAAAAGGAGATAGTATATGTGTCCTGACATACAATAAGGACTCTGTAAAAGTAGCTTTTATTGCTCCTCAAACTTTATGCCTGTTTCAATTGACCAGGTTTTGGACATTTTGGGCCAAATCATGTTGACTAGGTACAAGTGCCTTTAAGTATTTTCCACCTCCTAACAATAGGGTCTTAACCCCACCTTCACTCCACTACTGTCCAGCACAGGGTAAGTACTCAGTAACGTAAATATCTAAACCAGGGGTCAAAAATTCAGATGAACACAAGGATAATATAAAAGCAAGGGATAAGAAATGTTGGTAAAACCGAAGAGTTTTTGTTGCCTGTGGGAATCCGTGTTCCAAATCTTGAATTTTTCCACGCAGGAATTTGATTTTTATCTGACATTTCTCCATGTTCAAAATATGCAAGAAAACCCTTCTCCACACCAAAACACACACTTACATAGTCTGCAGCACATATAAACAGTGAGGATGCACAGTAACATGGCCTCACATGCACTCAGGCACCTCACTTCTTTCCTTACTTAGACTTTACTCCTGAAAGTATGTGTGTGCATATATATACATAGTCACATATAGCAAGTGGCTTATAGGGCAATATTTGTCAAACCAGTTATCCTCTGGTCAGCCTTTATTTCAGTCCTAGAACCACAAGATGTGTCTTCAACAGCAGTGGAAGGGCTCTTGTAGGTACTGGTGTCCTATTTTTAATTCTAGCATTGGCAGCAACAGAAAACATCATGACAATGGGTCAAAGCTGGTAAAGCAGAGAAAATGGTGTCTTAATTTACTGAAACACATATGAAGACACCCCAAGGTATATACTTGAAAGTGTGGGGGGCTTCCAAGTAAGAACTTTTAGGTGAGGATAGAACTAGAGAAATAACATTCTGTGTAAAGAACATTTTAAAACATGCAAAATTCACAATGTACTATAGTAAAATATTGACACATTCACAAGAATGATACGCATAAATTTCAGGTTAGTGATTTGACAGAGGGAAATGTGATCTGGGAAGGGTATTAAGGGGACTTCAGTTGTCTTTGATGATTTGCCCCTTAAAAGAAACCAAAACAGGGCTGGCCAAGTGGCTCAGTTGGTTAAGAGCTCACTCAAGAGTTTGAGTTCTGAGCAACAGCGGTTTGATTCCCGGCCTGAGCTGAGCTGCCGCTGAGCTGCCAACAGGTGGCAGGATGGCTCAGCTAAAAAAAAAAAAAAGAAACCAAAAGATTCAAAGCAAATATAGAAAAATAAATTCTATGAAAGCTGAGGAAAATTTCCATGAAATACAAGCAAAGAAGGAGGAAAACACCATTCTGCAGGCACTACAGTCCATTTTATCCCCACACTACTGTGGGGTGGGAAACACAATTATTTAAACGTAAAACTTCATTTTCTATTGGCATCTGCAATGCACTTTTTTGGAATTAAGAGATCTAAGTATTGGATGGAAAGGTTTACATGTTTTAAGTGGTTTAAACATTATTTGTTGGGAACATTTACATCATTTACTACACCAAATGCACAGGTATTACAAGACTTTTTAAGTACTCCATAACGATAGCTGTTCCCTTCAAATTGCATCACGATGCAAACGTTGAGATGAACACACAAATTTTTAGCACTTTAAATTTCATGTTGGGAACCTTTCAGTCAATATACTTATCTCCCTGAAATTCCCATTTCACCCACCACTTACCTTACAAAGGAACCACTTTATCCAGTTAAAAATTAAGATTCTTAAGGCATTTTTCATTGTATAATGTAGATTTTTGGTAAGAAACCATTTCTTAAAACATGTATAAGGCTAAGAAAGTAATCAATAAAAGAATTATATTAAAAAAAATGTATAAGGAAATTTCCCAATTGACCAATTCCATGAGGAACGGGATGTGTCTCAAAAGTTCAAGAGAATTTTTCCCTTGGAGAGATGGGAATTCACTTACTTGATAAATTAAACATGATCATTCAACTTTTGGGGAAAAAAAATCTGAATTTTATTCCAATAATTTCAAAAAACTTGATGGCAAAGTATACAAAAGCACCCTAAGAAATACTTTTGCTTCTGAAGTTTAAGTTGAATTTAAGTATTTCCCTAAATTTAATTCAAAGTAGCTTGATACACACCCTCATATATTTAGCTACATGCTATACATTTAAGGACATACACTTTGAATTAAAATAGCATACAAAAAGTTTGCCTCCAACACTATATTAAAACTCATAACTCCTAATAAACCTCTAGTTCTTGAAACAATGTACTAAAATGAGGAATTCTTATTGCTCAGGGTGTATAACAGATTTCAACTACTTGCAATTTCAACTCTCCATCACATTTTTTTAGACTTTAGGTGTCAATGACTTCTCTCCAAAAAAAAATATTTTTCCTCAAGGTTCATGTCTCTTCCTCAAGGTTCATAAGTAGTAACTTGACATCGTTTCTTCTCTGTAGAACCATAAAGCCAAGAATTTAGATCATGAATTATCAAAATTCAGACATTTGGTTTAAATAATCATTAAATTTAAAGAATCATATAGAAGAGTGAGGTCACACTCTGTTCTCCAGCCTTGAAGGTTACACAAACCATTTCTATAAGTTCTATAGCCTCCTTATAATACATTAATAAATTTGCTTACTAATGTTCATGCTGATTTTGTTCAAGAGCTGAGGTTACTAATGGGCATGTTTATTTCTTCTCACCTCTTTGAGATAGAGGAGGAAAATCTTTGAAAATTTAAGGCCAAAAGTTTTCACAAAGAAATGTCAGTAACTACTTACTGCCTTTGAAGTGGACTCAAAGGCATCACAAAATTACCATACCAATTTTTTGTGGAGACAATATTTGACTTGGACCAGGGTACAAGTCATGTCGTTCGCATAGATTACAAGTTAAGAGCCAGGGCTCTAGAGCCACACTGTCGGGATTCAACTCCTGTCCTGTTACTTAAAGCTGTGTAAACCTGAACTTCTCTCAATCTGTCTGCATGCCCATAAAATGAAGAACAGTACCTATTTCCTAGGATCTGGGAGGTGACTAAATGAGTTGACATTAAACTTAATAGCTGGCACAAGTGGTAAGCACCCTGAAAACCATTACACACTTTGAGAAATATATGATGGGCAAAATAAATTTCTCAGGTGTGTAAAGATAATCACTTTGGGTGTTAGCCAATTGGTAATAAAAACAACCCTATAAAATTTCTCAAATTGTTTATTTTTGTACAGACAGCTCACATTTACAAGTTAAAATCCTTTACTGGTGTTCTAACAATCCTAACTTTACAAAGATAGCTCTTACATTAAACAATACCTAAATGTGACTCCTGCAACTTATTTTTAAAGATTAATATACAAAGAATTCTGAAAATGCAGCTTCCCTATATGGTAGGACTTAAGTCTTGCTTAAACCTATTCTGTATCTGGCTTTGGCATTTAAAAACCTATAAAGCAGTTGTCTGGCTACAGATTAAAATGAGTGTAGAGCTTAAAAACAAGTAACCAGATCTCCACCCCAGACCAATTAAGTCGGTATCTCTAGAGGTACTGTTCAGTCATCATTATTTTTTTTTTTTTGGCTCATCACATGAGTTAATGTACTGTGGTAATTGAATATCACTAAAAATAAGTAAAAGTTATCTTAATACTTCCTGCACAACCAGAAAACAATAAACTGGGTTTTAAAATAAATGTGGTAATAGGAAGCTATGCATAACTATAACTAGAAATTATCTGACCAATCACGCTTTATATTATAAATGTTTATAACCTTATGAAGAAACAAATCATGAAGTATTTTGCAGTCACTTATGCTTGGTTTTCAATAAACCAGAGAAATGATTAAGTAAAAAAATAGGATACAAAGTTGCATGTATGATTATGCTTCAAGAGCATTATTATAGAGAAATAAATGTCCATAGAAATTAATGTTGCCAGATGTCAGGGTCTGGCATTATTATTTTTTCCTAATGTATTTTCCAAATTCTCTAAGACACACACATTATTTCTACAATCATAAAAGAAGGTAAAATCTTTCTCTTTAAGGATGAATATTCCAACTTCTTTGCACCAATCCCCAACAGGCTGAGCATTGCCAAGAAGCCGCTATTCGTGCACAGAACTCTCCAGAGGCATGGCTTCTATCAACAGTGGGCTGTCATATGTGAAACTGAAAAACTAGCTCAGGGGTCGGCAAACTGCAGCTCGCAAGCCACATGCGGCTTTTTGGGTACGCTTCGTCTCAAAAGTGTGCCAACCCCTGGAAAAGCCAATCCTGTCCCTCACAATTTAAAAATCATTCGAGAGCCATAAATATATTTTCACAAATAAGGAAAATTTAAAGTAATATTATAAATGAAACTATGATAGTTTTATTTTCAATTTTACTTCAGAGCCACATGTACGTACCCAAAGAGCCACATGTGGCTCACAAGCAGCAGTTTGCCGACCCCTGGACTAGCTGATCCCAACTTCCCACTAAAAAGCACTTAGCCTCTAGGTCACTAAGCAAGACTATCTGCCATCAGAACTCAAATTCCAGTCAATGACTAGTTATCACTACTTGACAGAACATTAACAAACCATCATAATCTACTGAAATCAAAATCCTTTTTTTGTTTGGAAAGGAAAATGACACTTCACCACATTTTAAATCAGTTTATTTATTCACCCAACAGTTTAATTTCCTTAGAAAGCTAGAAAATAAAGATCTTTACCTTATTTTGTTGTTTTTCCATACGGTAAACATTGATCTTCCCCTAACTCTCACAAAAGTCAATTTTTAAAAAACTATGCACACACCAAAAATCACTGAATAGGAATGTGCAAAGCTCTAGGGAAACTGTTACTTGAATGTTTTTAAAGTGGCAGATGACAATTTGGGGATATACCCCACAAGAACTGGTTTTTTACCTTATTGATAACACTTGTTTTCAAAGTAGCATAATTCGAATGATTGCAATCCAAAAGTAATTCCCACAACAGATAATATCAATTTTAGAAGTTTTGACCTAAAATACTTAATGGAGAAATTAAGATTTTTTCTTTGACCAGAATTTCTAAATTTGATACATATTTTTCCAAGTGTCATTTTTTTTTAAAGGTAACACACCCAGAATACAATTCTTAAATTTGTTTCTTGTTAATACAACAATGGGCAAAGCTAAGGTACATGTTATAGAAACAATGAAGGAAGGTAGTGCATTTAGCAAGCGTCACATAGGAACTTAAGGCCTTAGTTATTTGATTGTGATTTCAGTATTAGCAACAGTGTATTTCCCTCATGCTTACTACATACACAAGTAAGCAGGCAGGCAAAAAAAATTTCTAAACATGTAAGGAATGAAGATAATTTAATCTATATTATTGTCAGCCAATTAATACAGTTGGACTCTTTTAAAGTTACCACTGGTAGTAAAATAATCTGATCACATTTTATACAGCAATTAAAAAGAACAGAAATTAAGTCTCCTATACAATCAGAATAGCTGATATGTAAAGCAGTTAAGAAGCCGATGTACACTTTATTTTGCAGATGCTACCCAGACTATACAATCTATCTCAAAACCAACCATTACATAATGCATTTTGTAGAAGGCCTATCTAAAAATACATTGTATTTTATAGTGTTTATTACCAGCATGGGGAGAGGATTTCTAGCCTTAAACACTAAAACCAAACATATACATGAAACTATTCAACAGTATCCAATAATACAATCTTATGATAGAGAATTTCACATACACTTATTAAATAACATCTTATGTTCATTATTTAAGTCTTGTCAAATTAAGACACTTTTTTTTTTTCTATAGTTACCAGAAAAAGACACCGAGCTAGTCAGGAAAGCAGATTTCTAGGTCCAGCTCTGCCTCTAACTACCTTGAGACATGGGGAATGCTCTCTTAACTCTCATCAAGGCCTCAGATTCCTGAACTATACAACAAAGGGGTTGAACAAAATAAATTCTAAGGAGCATTCCCATCAAACGGGATTTTGCTAAATTTTTGAGAACTACAATTTTAAAAAAAAACGATAGCCATGAAATATCAAGCTTGATACTTACCACCAACAATGTAGATTATATAGACAGCTTTAAGCCAAGGAATTACTGATTCTGCATTTATAAGATGAAAATGCAAGACTTTTTCTAGCATGCTTTTCCAGTTATCAGACAGGGAGGGAAATTTTATAATGACTGTAAAGCATACAACAATGGATACATATCTGCAGTAGAATGCTAGTAATAGATAGGTGTTACTTGTGTTAGTTTTTAGTAACTTCTGCACACAGCAAGAGGTTTTTTAAATAAAAAATACCATAGAACCAATGGCACAAAGCATGTGATGTGACAAATCAAAACATACTTAAAATGAAAAGGCAAACAAAATACTTTAGAATATCTCTCATTTATAAAATGTATACACAGACTTGGGCCTAACACACTCCACTGCACCACATCAAGTCCCAAAGTCCAATTTCCCTTTCTGATAGAAGTGCATCTTTTACAAAACCAACGCCTATTTTCAGGATCAAAAGTCACTTGTATTAGATTGTACGCAATAAAAAAAACTGAATACATTTTCTATGGTTGCAAAATTTCTATGCCAGTACAAATGAAATGAATAAGACATAAGACTAAGTGCAGGAAAGTATCAGACCCTATAATGCACATTTATACTAAAAACGTGTTTCATGTGGTTAACAGATTTGCAAAGGATAAAGTCATTTTTCACAAAGAAGATTCCCAAGGCTTGCTCAGTAATACCAAATTTCCATAATGGGAATTTACTTTGAGTGTCAAATTGGACAGAAAAAAACACCTCCTTTTAACTATTATTATGAAATTGTTATACAAGGAATTAGGTTGGTTAAAAAGCACTTGACTACAACAACCAAGGATAATGAGTCTTCCTTAAGAAGATACTAAAAGAACCTAGTGAGACTGGGGTAAATTAAACACAATAGAGCCACAAGGCATACACATAAACTGACAAAAATTATAGCACTTTTATTCTCACGGTACTTGCTTATTGAAGACAAACTGATTATGATCTTCCAAAATACCAAAAGTAGCTTGGAAATTTATCAATTCCTTCCCTTAAGAGAATGAGGATTTTAACCTTCAAATACTGTAGTTATCTGAAAGAGTTTCAAGGCAAGACAAAATTATGCATTATAATTTCAAATTATCATAGCACAGATTCCCTGGTATCCCCGTCTAATGACACGACAGACACAAACAAGCTATCGAGCAAGAATCTGTTAACAGTTTTATTTTTTTTATGTTAAATACCATGGGACAGGATTGTAAGGATGAAAAACTCAGTCAACAACTGCCTCACAAGGAATAAGAAAAATTCTGCCATGATATTAGCAAAGGTAAAGGAGAAAATTTACACTGTTAAGAGGCACCATTTCCCCACAGAATACCTCTTGGCATTTCCTGAATGAGTGGGATTAGCAATCTAAATAAATCATATTTCAAGAGGTAACAGCAACAGATAAAATTTAAAGGGATTATTAAAATAACATTTACAAGACTCTGAACATTTCTTGAACTCTTATTAAAACCACAAAGAAAGAACAATTCTTTATTTATGAATTTCATAAAGGACTGAATGTGCAACTGACATCTGCTAGTGAGGATCTGGTAATATACAATTTGTCCAGTAGCCGAACAGTTTTTTTATTGTGTTTTCTAACCATACGAGATCATTAAAGGCAAAGCCTATATGACGCTGTACACACAAAAAAAATGGTCACCGTGGGCCATACTACCAATGAAGTGGTAGGTAAACAAATCTTTTTCTGGTCAAGAGAAAAAAAAAAAGAAGTAGCACTCTGCATGCTTTACTCTACAAGATGAATTTCCCTAGAAAGAATCCAATGAAAATGGCTGCAATTACAACAAGAAGTGAAGGAAGAGGACTGGTGACATTATCTCTGAAGGATGCAGTTGAGGTTGATCCAGGTTTATCCGAGTGTGCTACCTTTCTGAGCCTTAAGCCTTCATCCTAGAAAAAAATATACGCAAACAGAATTTAAAAACAAATATGCATATAATAAGACTACTGAGCTAAATAGCTGCAGACAGAAAGCAGAACTGTATGCATATGGCTGGGGATGGGAATAAGGATTAACTGTTAGCTGGCATAAGAGAACTTTCTAGGCTGATGCAAACATTCTAAAACTGGATTCTAGTGATGGCTGCGCAATCCTCTAAATTTACTAAAAAATCACTGAATTGTACGTTCAATGAGTATCTTTATAGAATGTAAATATTAAAAACTGATTTTAAAAACTGGAGCTGAGATATACTCCTAAAAAACTGAAAAATCAGAAAGTCTGTATTTACATAGAAGAAAAAATTCCACTAAAATTAATACAATTAAAAAAAGAATTCTGTGCATGCACTTATATTTCCAACGTGGCCCACAGTATTTTTACGTTTGTTACACCTGTTCTAGCCCCATCAGCACCCAAGACTACCAGAAACAAACCCGTATTCTGACCAGTTTATTGACTTATTGCAACCAGGGCACCCACACAGCAGAGGCACAAGGAGTATCTCACCAAAAGAAGAGACAGGACTTTATAGGATTTAGGGGAAGGGGGAAGTTCGGGATGAAATTTAAATAATGCACTGTTTTGATAAACTCCAAGTAACACTTTCGCTGTGACGTTCCACTATAGTCAAATGATATTTCCAGGCCGTAGACTGCAGTGTTCAACTTTTCCCCACGAGCTCAAACTATAAAACTATTACTTTTTTGTGGATTTTTGACAGTTTTTGGAGAACTTGAAATCAATTAACACAGTGAAAGGGGTAAAGTTAAGTAGGAGAGCTGTGTGTAAAAGATTCAGCATTGGGTCTGAACTGCAAAGTCACAGCACATCCTGTTTCTTTGAAAACTACAAGTTATAACCAATGTGGAATGTTGTATACAGAAACCTCTCATCTGAAGCTCTGCATCTGGACTGAAAAGGGGGGCAGCTTCTCTGCACCAAAGTGACTGTGCTCCAGACAAGAGTGGGCTGCTTCTTAGTGATATGATGGCTTCACACAGCCAAGTTTCTGACATTCTATGATTTTAAGGGACAATGTTTCTCAGTACGAAAGTAGTAGTCACTCAAAATAGGAGGTTGTTATGACACTTTACCAGCTGCAGTATGACCCTGGGAAAAATATTGATATCTGTATCTGTTACCTAGGCAGTTGGCTTTATCTGTGTGTCCATCGTCCTAACCAGATGAATAGCAGGGCACATTTTTACTTCCTCTGTGCAAGGTGATTTTTATTTTCTCACACTCTAGTATGCTTATTAATACCAAGTAAAAGAATCCTCCTGGTATCATACTACTTTATTTGCATTACTGGGTTTTCTGAGGGTTTGTGGGTCTTTTTGGCTTTACACTAATTAGTCCTGTATGGAAAAAGCAGTGATTCTCAATCCCAGCAAGAACTTTAAAAAATATTCCTAGTGATTCTGCTTCAGTAGGTCTGAAGAGGGCCTGGCTAGGTCTATTTTTAAAATGCTCTTGGGGAGATTCAGATACATAGTCTGGATTAAGAACCACAGAGGTAGAGGAATAACAAACTGTAGTAATTAGACATGCTCTAGAAAGTTAATCTGGCAACAAATTATAATGGCCCTTACGTATGAAATGTTAAAGGGCCTGAAACTGATTCTAATAAGCCAGTGGTCTTTATTTATGTTTTGAATAGCACTATGCTTTTTCAAATAACATCTCCTAGAGAACATCAGCCTATGAAAAGTAGAAACCAGGAATTAAGTCTCAGTCACCCAGCTCCCTGTTCACTCTTCCTATTTTCCAGCCCTGCCCTACCCATTCCATCCCTACCACTTCCACTTCTCCCCTCTCTGCCAAGAGATAAACAGCAGTTTTCTGAACAAAGATACTGAGCATGCTAATGAGCACATCTTTCATCAAAGAACACAACTGTGCAAGTCATTGCAGATAAAGTAAAAGTAACACAAAACTGCATCCTTAAAAATCCATGGGTGTGTGGGTGTGAAATGGAGATATTCTTTCCACTATCCAGACAGGTGCTGTGGGCAGGGGGCAGCAGGGTCCCCAAGGAGTACTAAAAGATATGAAGAGATAGCCAGAAAAATTATTTCAGCAGAGATCAATTCAAGATATAGTGGCTTTGATTCAGAGTGTAGTTCCTATGTACATGTTTAAAAAAAATTTTAATTTATTTTATTAAATTTATTGGGATAACAATGGTAAAATTTATATAGGTTTCAAGTGTACATTTCTATAATACATCATCTATATATCACATTGTGTGTTCACCACCCAAAGTCAGTTCTCCTTCCATCATTATATAGTTGATCCCGGTTCCCATGTACATTTAATAGACAGAATAACCAAATGTAGATTAAGTCCCATAATTTAGCTTCTTTACTTATATATATTTTTGTATCATCTACTTTGATACAAAAAGCTCAAAGCCTTGAAAAGCAATTTAAAGGTGTTCAGATCTTGAAATAATTACCTGTCAAAGGCTAATTATTATTAACATATTCAAATTCCTCAATTCACCGGTCCATTCATTTATTTATTCAAATGTACAAATGACTACTATATGCATGTGCTATGAATGCAAAGATGAATGAACACAGTCCTTACCCCCAAGGAAACTACAGCCCACTAGAGGGAGAAATACTTCCAACAAATACGAGGTATGGTGGAAACAAAGGAGACAGCATTCCAAAGCAATTTTTCTTTTCTTTTTGGGAGGAGAGTGAAAGGATGATGAGAACCAAGTACTAAGAGACGAATGTGCATGTATTTATGTGCTGTGACAGCAGGAAAGGAATTCAAGTTATTCCAGTCAGAGGGAAGAATTTAAGCTAAAGCAAAAGAGGGGTGATAAAACAGAGAAGCTTCTCCAGGATACTATAGCACCATGCTGTCCAATACAAATATAATATGATTTTCAAATGTGAGCCACAGGTGTAATTTTGAATTTTCTAATAACATGTTAAAAAGGTAGAAAACAATTGGCAAAATTAATTTTATATATTGTATTCAATCCAATATAACCAAAATATTATTTCAATACAAAAAAAGACATATTTTACTTTTTTTGTACTAAGTCTAAGAAATTGATGTGTATTTTACAGTCACAGCACATCTCAATTCAAACTAACCACATACCAAGTGCGCAATAGCTCCATATGACTAGTGGCTGGCTACTCTATGGGACAGCACATTCTAGACAGTTCACATGACTAGAGCACAGAATGTGAATGGTACAAACAAGAGAGGAAGCTAGCAATGTCACAAGCCAGATCACAAATAACTAGGCCATCTTCTAGGATAAGAACTTGCAGGCAATGAGAAGTCACAGTAAAACTGTAAAAAGATGCTGGGAAGTGGGAGCAAAGAACAGGACATAATCAAATTGGGGAAAAGGAGAAAGAATTAACCAAAGATATATTAAAAAAATGGCCTAATAATATCCAGATATCCTAGGTCTTTATTTAAATCAACTTATTTTCAAAAGTAACTTACTCTCAGGTGTCGATTTTCTTCTGCTAGCTTCATCATTTCTCCCTGAAGTCTTTTACACTCTTCCATGAGTTTCCTTGTTTCAGTATCACTGAGTGAAACACTATGCGGTTTTGGCATGGGTCCATCTTGTTTAGATGCGTTCAGTGGAACAGCTTTGCTAGGTTCCATATCATTCTGTATTACAAAGACAGTGGGAGTGTTTTAATGGCCAAATCTCCTTACAAGTTTTAAACAAATAAAAATTTAAACTCCACATCTTTCTTTTGAAAAAAAAAATTACTTAAAAGTTTTGACAATGTTCAATTTCACTAAATAAGAAAAAATTTTAATACCAAATGTTATAGTCATCTGTGAACAATTTTAGAAGGACTATATTTCAGTAAATGTCAGCAGTTAGATAAGCAAAATAAGCAGCCTACTCCCTCCTGTACTCCCATAACGCTTTGCACTTACCTCTACCAAAGCACTTATCATAATAATGTATTTTTTATGTTCTTTCCTACAATACTTCAAAGGCTTGGATATCAAGAGTCATTTCTCTTTGTATTTACCTCCTCAACCCAGCACTTTGGCCAACAGTTAATTCAATGAAAGTATGCTAAATGACTGATGCCAACCAAAATCCAAATATGAAGGTCATTTTCAGTGCTCTGATTCTGCAATTCAAATGAGGTTCTAGGAGGGTAAGGGAGACATTATCGTAATCCTTCCAATAAAATTAGAAGACTACCCAAGAAAAACACTTAAAACCTATCTCTTACTAATGGGAAAAAATAACTGAAGGATATAAACATTGAAAGGGAGATAATGAACATAAACATACCATGGCAAAACAAAACAAAAGAAAGGGGAGGGAAGGGAGTTAATTCCATGACCTTAAATTCAAAACATAAATGATTCTCTCAAATCATTAGTATCACTGTTTGCATTAATTCATGAAATTCAGTTTGGAATCACAGTACTTAAGACACTTCTTTTATAACTACAAGCCCCCAAAATCTTAATTCTTACCAACACTTACCCATTTGAAACTAGTGGCAAGGGCATGGAAATGCATACCTAGGGCAGTGCCTAAGTACTAGAGCCTGTAATCTAAAGTGCCTCGATATCCTTCCATCTTAACATCATTTATCCCATCACATACAACATAACAGTATTCGTGCAACAAGTCATTTTAATTAAAATTTTATTTGCTAAAAATTTAACTTGATAAAAAGAAATAAACTGCTTAATTCAGATATAAACTTCTAACAAAAATATCTCAAAATCAACTTTATGGCATTCTATAGTACTCATTGATAAGATTTTAATTATAGATTACACACCTATCATGTCATCCCAGCTTTTGAATTTATATTAAGTATAAATAAATTGTTCAAGGGGAAATCTAGTGTTTTCTTATGAAAGGGATGTGACTTGATGATTATGCCTAAATCCATGTAAAAATTAATTTTATGAGGTTCTAGTGTACACCACTATATATTTGACCTGTGAACATTCAGATTTTTCTATTTTTCTTTAAAAGCTTCAAATTGTGAAGGGGTTTTAAGAAGTCTACTTCAATTTTCTTCTTTTTAAGTAACATGTCAATGAATATCTTCTTATGGTGGCAGGGTTAGATTTTTCTTTTTCATTAAAATTTTTCTTAATGTTGTTATACTGCTTTTGTAACAAAAAAGGAGAAGAAATATCATAACCAATTTGTGGAACACAGACATAAAGACTAGAATGCAAAAGATACAGTGAAGCTTAAACACATTTCAAAAGCGAGCCAAGTTAAGTCATGAAACAAGTTACATGGAATGCAGTTATATCATGTACTATTCATGTCCCTTACAAACCAGTCAACATACATAGGAGATGCAAAGAAATCTAATTTATTTATGTATATTTAAAGTATAAGCATATATAACCTAACTTAGTTGAGGGTTAAAAAGGAGGTGGGGGGGGGGGTCTGAGTCATTTGTGTAGTAACAATCTGAAGAGCCTGCTGTGACTTTAAGTATATGCTTCCATTAAGGAGCTCCACTTAATGAGGTTTGACTTCAGGAAAACAGCTTGTTCCTTGACAGTGAGAGTTGCTTCAGACTGGTCCAGAAAGAGGACACTGGTTGTTTTGAGAACCATGAAACAAGCAAACTAGAGGGATTCAACATGCTGTGACTCTTAGGAAATTGATGAATAGTAACATTACATTAACATTATATTTAACACTGCAATTTAGAATAAACTGAAAGTTCAAGGCCATGATATCAATTAAGAATATATACCATATCTTGTACTTTTTCCACTATTTTATACTATTTAGCCTATCTGCAGTAATCTCTCTCCATCTATGATTTGAATTTACGCCTGTGTTCTTTTTTAACAATCTTCAGAATTTCAATTCCAATATTGTAAGTTATTCTTGTTGGGGGTAATTAGACAAAGAGAGAGACAGAAAATGGAAATAGAAAGGGAAAGATAAAATACAATGCAAGGTAAATTTTTGCAATGAAGTCTTGGGAAGGACAGAGGAGTAAAACAATGTAAACATGGGGCTGCATTCTTGTGACTATTATGAGTAAGGGGTCTAAATATATAAAAAGAGAATTGAAAGGCTAAAGCCAAGAGCTATGGCATGAAATTGTCAGAGGCATAATTAACCTGGGAAAAGATAGTATTTGAATAATAAGGTTACTGAAGATTTATTTTCACTCTAAACAGCCACTTTACTGTTTCTCTAGGATCATCATTTCTAGAATAACTAAAATCACAAAATCAAAAGGTATTAGACATTTTAGATGAAGGGTCAGATTTTTTTAAGCCTTAGTATACATATTATTTGCTAAGCCAAATCAAAGTATAAGCAACCTGTTCAAACTGTGGGGGTTCCTGAAGTTTCCAGTAGGCAAGAAGTGGTAAAGGGAATTACACAGAACTATTATACCACTTAAAGTCACCATTACCTTATTGATGTGCTGTCATTTTACCTGAGTGCAAGTACACAGGTACATGTGTACGTACACGTGTACACACACACACACACACACACACACACACACACACACACACACACTAATACATTCAAATATGACCTAAGATATTTAGGGCTTATACCACAAATTCTCCTACCCTGGGGCATTGTAAATTGTAAACTAACAATGACAGTTAAAGGGGGAGGAGGGGTTGCTATTATTTGTATTTGATAAAACAGTAATTTCACTTATCTTTTTTATATATAAATTGCCTGGAAAGCAATGTTTGCCAGCTCCTATGTTTACTGCTATGCCTACTAGTCTATTCAGATACGCTCCTAACTCCCTTTCTAGACTATGTTCCCAAAATCTCAGTGACAGGAAAAATCATAGCAATTTCATAATAATGTTCAAACTTACATTTGTCCTGTTCACTACTGAGATTTTATTGTTAAATGTTTTTTTAAGAATAGAGACTAGTTTGTGTGTATGATCTTCAAGTGATTTGTAATTCTACCGTAATTTTAAACATAGTTGAAAATTTCCATTCTTTTTACTTCACATAACACACTCACAATACCACGTATGTGTTAGGTAACTACGTTAACATAACCAGTAACACTAGTAGACTCCTATGTCTGTTAGCTCCCTAAAACAAACCTTCTGCTTCTCCTGTTTGAACACATTGAGTCCCCTGGGGTCATTCTTCATGTTATAAATGGCAGGAGTTGCAACTGTGTTGTTGATGCTGCTCATTGAAGTGACAGCCGGAGCAGTCCCTGGAGTTATTCCCTGAGGTGGCATGGGAAACATATTCTCAAATTCGCACCAAACTGAGTTCTCCTGCACGGTACTGGGAATGACTAACATAGAAATCATTAAGACTCTAAAACATTCACATTTTATTCTATAAAAAGATGTTATACATAAGAAATAATACTAATAAATAACAGCTATGTTAAAGCAAAAATATGAAATTTCTGAACTTTTTGTATTTCCCAAACAAAATTAGTTATGATTTTGCATTACGCTCACAAATTAAATACAAACCTTATTAAATTTATGCTAGCCTCATGTTATCCTAAAATGAGTACCTTCTAACTTTGTAACTTAATTTTTGTTACTAATCAACATTTGCCAATATCTGAACAAGCACTTCATATTTTCTTACCTTTGATAACACTCAACCTGAACAATTAGTTGCATTTTTCCAGAAGGTTCAAAATCTACAATGATTTATAAACCTCTCCTATACTCACCACCCCTCCAAACACACACACGCGCGCACACCCAAGACCAATAAACAAATTTAAAGATGCATATAACACTGTAGTATATACCATTATCTCCACAGTTCTCTTCCTCTCTTCTCAAGTTCCTCTAATACAGATAAAAATAATATTACCCAAAAAGGTTGGAACAGACTCTGAAATAATACTTATTGATATCCAGGTCACTGTATATAACTAAGAGAACTCTATCTTATCTAACAATGCACTGTCCTCAATCTGTTCTTTGTCTCAATAGAAAATAATGTACATTTAATCATAAAAAGTGTTTATACATAAGACTCTTGAAATGCCCTATTCTTGACAGCCCTTCATTAAAACAACTCATTATTTTTTCCTAGAAAATATGTCAGTAACAGATATATGTAGGGCATAAATGAAATCAATACATTTTTAAAAACTGGAAAATGTCAAGTAGAGTTTGAGGCTTCAAAAAAGCAAACAAAAGGTTTAACTAAACACAAAGAATTGAATAGGTGATAAAATATCATAAATAACAAGTTAATTAAAGCCACATTCAATCCTGAAAAAACCACTACCACTAACTGACCTTAGATTTCATAATACAGAGTTGACAACAACTGAAAAGAGCTAATAATTCAGAAAACCCCACTTTGTAAAATATAGTCAATGCCTCCACACCCATCAACAACATGCTGAATGGCTCTCATTATTAGCGCTGAACACAACTCAACTGAACTCTACAGACCATTAATTTCCTGAAATACATCCAGTCAAAGACCAGCTGTTACCTAGGACTAGGGAGACACCATATATTTCAGTGTACTTAAAGGCAGCATTAGTTGATGCCTGTTGTCCAGGAATAATTACTAATTAATAAATCATTAATAATTAACAATTTTATTTTATTCTAAAATAAAAAGGTTCCAGATTTCTAGGTCCCTCTATCTATGATCCAAATTAGACAGCTATTTCCCAAAAAGCAGCTCATATTCTAATGATGGTTCAAATAAATTAGAATTGTTTTGTCATAAAAAATGACTGCTTTAAACTATAAAAATAAAACCATGGACTCAACCACTATACTTCTAAAACTGGCACCTTTCTTACCCTACAATATTGACCACAAAACTTCAATCATTTTCTTATTTAAATAACTGGTATCAAGGTCCTAAAAGAACCAAAGAAACCAATAAAACAATAACATACCCTTTCCCTACTGTTTTTAGAACATATAAATGCCCAAGGACTAATAGCATACCTAAAAAGATATTGGGTTGTCGGAGAAGTCGACGAATTTTTGCAATGAAAAACATACAAAAACTACATCATGACTTTTCCGACAACCCAATACATTTAGAAATGTATTTTTCTTGAATAAGGAAATATCTCCTTTAATCAATTTGTAAGTCAGAATTCAGCTTCGTATAGCACTTTATCAATTTTTTTGTAGTAAACTAACAAACTTTATCTAGACAAAACACTATTCAATAATGCCCTAATTTTCTAACCAACAAGTTTTACACTAAAGATAAACATACAGAAAAAGGATGTTAAGTAATTTTATAATTTTATCTATGCCAGACAAATGCTAAATGATTTCTAACTAAATTTCTAGCTGGATACTAGAGAGAAACCAATATGTCAAAGACACTACAGTTTTTAAGCAGTTGTTATCAACTTCAACTGTAGACAACACTGAACTGGAAATGGCAAGATACAATTAATAACAAGGTCTAATTACCACATGAATGAAGAATGATAAAAGAGGTGTTTTATATATTTAAAAGGTCTCATCCTTTATTATAGTAAACAAATAAATAAAAACTTTATTATATATTTTATACTATTTTAAACAATCCAGATTTGGCTACGTTGAGGCTTCATCTTTTCTAAAAAGAATGAGTTGCAACAGTAAAATGATTACTTGATAGAAAGCCACATAATCATCAATTCAAATAGAACTGGGTCTGTACCAGGTTATACTCAATTTAAATACACTTCTCAGTTATTAAGAATTCTTATAGATGGGGCCGGCCGAGTGGCTCAGTTGTTTAACAGTTAGCTTAAGAGTGCGAGCTCTGAGCAACAGGGCTGCCAGTTCGATTCCAACATGGGCCAGTGACACTGCGCCCGAGCTGAGCTGCCGCTGAGCTGCCCCAACAGGTGGCAGGATAGCTCAGCTGGTGAGAGCATGTGCTCCTAACAACAAGACTGCCGGTTCAACGGTGGACTAGCCCACCTACAACTAAGACTGAACTCGGCACCTTGAGCTGAGCTGCCATCCGGATGGCTCAGTGTGTAGAGCATATGCTCTTAACAAGGCTGCTGGGTTTGACTCCTGCATAGGATGGTGGCTATGCCCACCCGCAATTAAGACAGAACTTGGCACCTTGAGCTTAGAGGCCACGAGCTGCCAACGGGAAGCCAGATGGCGACTGGCACCCTCCACAACTAAGACTGAAGAACAATAACTTGGCTGGTTCCCCCTCCCCAATTCCCCAACACTGTTCCCCCTCCCCAATTCCCCAATTTAAGAAAAAAAAAAAAAGAATTCTTATAGAATCTGCAAGTTAGTAGCACTACAAGAATGAGTTTAAGCAGTATCAGTGTTTCCAAAAGCGTCTTTTACAGAATACCAGCTATTCCATGAGAAGTAAATTACATTATATTAAATAAAAAAGAAATGCTGGGTTAAACAACATTTTCTTTATTCAACGCTTATAATATGCAAATATGCAATGTGCTTATTTATAGGGAGAAAGTATTTGCACCATTTTTCCAAACTCATTTGACCACAGAACCCTTCCAATGCAATAAACTTTGGGAAATACTGCCTTATAAAAACATAGCTGTGTTTCATCCCTTCCTTTTAACATGCATATGAATCAACTAAAGCCACCTCTAGGCTACGAAGTGTGATCAAACAATACGGTGAATGTTTAAATTCTTAAAAAAATTATTGCAGTAAAAGACACATTGCCATTAATCCCTCTCAAAATACTCCCTCTCACTTGGAACACACTTACCCCATCGTTCTTGCCACTGTTGGAAGCAGTTCTGGAAGTCCTCTTTCGTGAGTGTCTTTAGTTGCGGTTGTGTTGTCGTGGCTGCCTCGATGTCCTGAATCATTTTTACTTTGAGGAAGAGCCAGAAGCTGTACGGTGCCAGATCCAGTGAATAAGGTGAATGAGGAAACACCGTAATGTTTTTCTTTGATAGAAATTGCCATATAACAGAAGCAATGTGTGACACAGAGCGTTGTCATGATGGAGGATGATTTAAGGCACACTTTAAAACACACCTTCTCTCAACCATAGCTTACACCCAGATGACTGCACTGAACAAGCTGAAACTTGTCACACACTGTTACTAAGGTTTGATGTGCCGCTTCCTGTATTGAAGACCCCTGCCTTTCCATTGAATGGCACTCAGCAGCAGCATTCAACATATTTTGTGATCACACGGAAAGGCTCCGTGTCACACGGAAGCGATGCTTCTGGTACAGCAATTTCTGTCAAATAAAAACATTTCCATGTGTCCTCATCTACCTTATTCCCCAGATCTGGCACCGTGCGACTTCTGGCTCTTCCCCAGAGTCAAAATGACCATGAAAGGTAAGTGTTCTGAATTGATTCAGGACATTGAAGCAGCCATGACAGCACAACTAAAGACACTCACAAAAGAGGACTTCCAGAACTGCTTCAGAAAGGGCAAGAACGATGGGATAAGTGTGTTCCAAGTGAGGGGGAGTATTTTGAGGGATTAATGGCAATGTATCTTTCCTATAACAACTTTTATTTAAACATTTAGTTTATTTTGTGATCACACCTTGTGTATGTAGTATATACTTTTAAAAAAATATTTGTATTACATAAATTTGAAATACTAATATATTGAAATATAAAGTCTCATTTTATGTGCAAAACTTGTAACTGTAAACCCAAACACTTAAGAATTATAATGGCAAAGCTAACAAGCCATGTAAGTTGCTATATGGAAACAGCACTGCAACTGGTTCAGAGTGTACCTGCTGCCCATTCCTCCTAGAGCCAGTGTTGGATTTTCTACTTTTTGAATTATACAAGATATTCAAGATTATATCCCACCAATATAATGCGATCACTACCACAAGAAAGAAAAGGATACACATTATCCTATGTGATGGTCACATAATTTTACCATTTGAAGAAGTGCCTTCAAGTGACAATCAGGCCTCCATTCTAATCTTGGCCAAAAGAAAGGTTTGATGGAAATTCTGAAAAATCATTGTATTACCCCAGTTGCCAGATTATGGTTTTGAAATACCGATCTCCCACTGAAAGAAGCCAGAGCTTCATGAAGATGTGGCTGATTCCAGGTCTGGGTCTGGAAATATCTTGTGATATTAAACATCAAGAAAATAACCAAAGGACCAACTTAAGGTAAACCAACTTAAGCTTTTGTAAAAGGACTTGGGAACCAACTTAAAGAAGTTCCTACTGGCCAATTTGCGCACCAATAATGATAATAACTGCAAGGAACTGAAACACAGATATGTTAAGTCCATGAGTTTATAATACAGAAAAGAGAAGGGAAAGGGGGAGGAAGGGAAGTTGACTATACATCTTATCAGAGGGACACTTGTAACCAACTCACTTTTTGAAAGCTTATAACTAAAGAGAAAGACTAAGGCATTTATCCTGCCTTTATAAACTCTATCACTGAATAAAATATTAGATTAGCACAAGTTTCTCTCTACACAAGTACTCTAATAAAAAGAAGCAGGAATGACAGAAATATTGCCATTATGCAACCTTAAAGGAATAGACCTAACCACATTTTTTTCAATTTCAACTTTATTGATATTTTGGGCGTGATAATTCTTTTTTTTTTTTTTTTTTAGGTTTTCTTGGGGAATTGGGGGAGGGGAATAACATTGGGGAATTGGGGAAGGGGAACAGACAAGTTGCTGTCCTTTTGTTCTTTAGTCTAGTTGTGGAGGACGTCACTTCACTGGCCCATGTTGGTATTATCATTGCACTTTTCCTGGGTGAGGCAGTCGCTCGCCAGCCATTGGACGGCCGCTCACGAAAGCACACACCAGCTGCCGGCCAGCCCCACTGCAGCCTACACCGTTGCCGGTGACTCACCGCAGCCCAGCTCCAGGTCAAGCTGTTGTTCACCATCTTAGCTGTAGAGGGCGCAGCGACACTGGCTCGCATGTGGGATGCGAACCGGGGCCCTGCTGCTCAGAGCTGGCGTTCCAAGCCAACTCCTAACCAATGCACCACTCGGCCGGCGCTATGCCTGATAATTCTTTGTTGTAGGGGCTGTCCAATGCATTGTAGGAAGTTAAGCAGCATCCCTGGCCTCTCTCCACTAGATGCCTACAGCACCCCTCCCCCTTATAGTTGCGACAACCAAAAATGTCTCCAGACATTGACAAATGTTCCCTTGGGAGCGGGGGGTGGGGGGGGGGATTTACCACTGATTGAGAACCACTTATCTACACATTGCACACCAATGACTGTTAACTTCACACAAAAAACAACCAGACATCACATTCCTCCTTAAGAAAACATATCACCACCTACAAAGCAGTCTTGCCTCTCCACACCAGCAAAAAAATTTCAATTTAATCAAGCCTCTAGTTCCAATTATAGGACATACCAAAGACAGAAGAAAAGTTAAATGACACAAGGATGCAATCAGGAAAATCTAGTCTGTTGGGAAAAGTCTATATAGGACAAACCCTGTTTCTTTAATAAATAATTTGTGAGAGAAAAACAGTGAAGGAATCTATAGATTAAGAGATTTAAGAAACATATCCATAGGAGTATGGGGACTTTATTTTGATCTCAATTCCAACAAACTGCAAAAAAAATTTAAATGCATCTGTTAGACTAATTTGAATGCTGCCTGGATTGTCTGATATTAACATCTATTGAGCTTGTAAAGGCTTACTGGTAATATTGTCATTAAAATTTTTCCCTTTTCTTAAAGTCCTTATATCTGAACGATATATACTGAAATAGTTACAGATGCAGCTATACCACATCTGGGGTTTCCCTTAAAATAATGTGAAATGGGAAGTGGTGGGGTTTAGATGAAATAAGATTAACCATGGACAGGTAATTGTGAAAGCTGATCATACATTCACAGGCCTTCACTGTACTGTCTATGTCTACTTTTCTAAGTCTTTAAATTTTCTCAAGATAAAATGTTAAAAAAATATCATTATCTTCAGCAAATATTCCCTACAGCGTAATCCGTCAATAAGTATACAGCAAGTCCAAGTAGTTCAATTAATGCAAATACATTCTGCAGCTAGTTCATACAGGTTCAAAATCAGATATTCTCTCGAGTACTTTAAAATTATTGAACAGACTTCGGGTTACTAATAATACCTGCTCTGAAATGGTTACAGTGCCAAACCACTTCTGCTCATGTTCCATGGCGTGGGACTCAAAGGACTCCATTTGTTTAAGCCCTTTAGCAGATCCAAAACCACTTTCTTAAATTACTACGAGCTATAAATATATATAGATACACCTGTTACTCTCCTCTATGACGTGGTAACATGGCTAGGCTCAACTACCATAGCCATATCATTTCTATCAACTTCTGTTTTGGTTTCCAAAGCAGTGAGCGCTACTCTTGATTAGCAATATCAAATACTTGGAGTTCCAGCCCCTTTCAGGCTACAGTCTCAAATTGACTGCTATCCAGAGCATACTAGAAGCTCAGGTAAAAGATAGCTCTAACTATGTTTACTAAATGATTGTAATAAAATGACATAAATATTGAGAAAATATCCAAATGTGTTTTTAAAACAAGTCAACTCTTATTCCACTGAATTTTACTTTCTGGAATATATCCAAAGGAAATAAAAACGCTTTGTCAGAGAGGTATCTGCACCCCATATTAATATAGCAGCATTATCTACAATAGCCATGACATGCAAATAACCTAAGCAGATAGATAAAGAGTTATGGTATATATACACAGTGGAATATTATTCGGCCATAAAAAAGAAGGAATCTTGCCATTTGCAACAATATGGATGGACTTTGAGGGCACTATGCCAAGAGAAATAAGTCAAGACAAAGACAAATACTGTATGATCTCACTTATATATGGAATCCATAAAAACAAAACACACAGAAAAAGAGATCAGATTTGTGGTTACCAGAGCTGGAGAACGGGAGGGGGAGAATTAAATAAAGGTGGTCAAAAGATACAAACTTCCGGTTATAAGATAAATAAGAACTGTGGGTGTCATGAACAACATGATGACTATAGTTAAGAGTTCTCATCACAAGGGAAAAAAACTTTTTCCTTTTATTTTTTGCATCTGTAGGTGATGGTAACTAAACTTATTATTATAATCATTTGACAATATATATGTCAAGTCATTATGCTTAAATTTATACAGTACTATATGTCAATTATATCTCAAAACAATTTTTTTAAAACTAATCAACCCAGACAATATACTATCATGTTTTCTCGGTTCCAATAAAGAGCTCTGCAAGCTATGGCTTCCTGGCACCCTAAACAAAAGAGAAAGTAAATTCCAAAAGGGATGCACAAACATGCCACAGAACCCTCACTTTCCAGTAAGAATTTACCCATTCACTGGCGGGTGGTGGGAGAAGGAGGTGGCGGCAAATATCTCCAAATCCCTTTTAAAAGGCATTTAAAAACATAATTTAGTAAAAACCTAATTACCATTCAGGGACTTTTCATGTCAGCTTATCCTAAAAGAGTATTAACACAATAATTGAGCCCATGTATTTAAATCTGCAAGTTTATTTTTCAATAGGGCAAAGAGCCTCCAGATGTAGGGGATAGTTTTGTCAGACTGTAACCTAATTGTGACAATATTATTTATCCATATTACTTCACATATTGTCACCAAGAAAAACACCTACTTACCTTTCAAGTTCCTCCTACAACCATAGAAAAAGATTCAAATTTGCATTTCAGAAGGAAAATATGGAAAGTAACCACAACCTACTCTATACATTCAGAGTCCAAAGTGCTAACCATTACACCATGGAACCCTTCCAACCTACTCTATACATTCAAAGATTCTTTTTTAAACTACACAATTACATGCTTCAGTCCCCCAAATTATATTTACCTCATACTAATCAAAAAGCAACCTAAAAATTATTCACTAAAGAATAAACCCAGATGGATTTTGGCCAAAAACAAAACTGAGCAAAATACCTAGGAACAGCCAAATTTGGAATAAAGTGCTTGTCCATGGAAATTAAATCTTTTATCCCCAGACTGCTGGTATATAGTTGCCAAAAAGTGGTTTATGTCTGCTATTTAATTATATTTATATACACACACATGTCTCATTCTAAAGAAGAACTTCAAGTAGTTTAAGTGGCAAAAATTTGTTAGACTTAAATGATTCTTCTCCATCATGAAGCTTCTAAAAGCATTTTTCTTCTTGAATAAATGTTATAAAATGAAAATAGCATATCAAGTTTTTATTAAAACTTTCAGAGTCTTATCAAGTGGAATAACTATTATTATACACACCACAAAGGTCAAAACAAAAGGAAAATTAATCTCAAAGTAACTGAGAGCTTGTTAAAACAGCTTCCAATTTTCCTACTTACCAATTTATCATTTTCATTGGGCATTTCAAAAACACATCTCAATTTAGAATCCATTAAATCATCAGGTTTTGCCTCTTTCCACTAAAAACAAACAAAACCAAACATGAGACAAAAGAAGTATGATCCTGTCAAACAGGTTTCACCTCAAGGGACAACTAAATGATTAGTGTAGCTGCTTGGAGCAGGAGTGGTGTCTGGCTCAACCAGGATGCAATGCTGCACTCTGTATTGATCACCCTGCCACAGTTAGCTGGCAATGCCACAGAAATTTCTATATAATCCTAAAAAGAGCTACTATCACCACCCATTAAAATCTCACTAATATCTCTATAGAGATTACAGGACTTTCTCCTTAGTAGCATTTCTAAATTGTTTCTAAGATACTATTTCAAAATTCTTTCATCGTTGAAATTAAGTTAGGGTTATCTGTAATAAACAGATTTATGTATTTTTTTTAAATTAGGTTCCTCAATTGAGAATTAAACAAATCCCAGTTTAAGCAACATTCCCCAAAATAAATTCTGTTCAACTTACCACAGCTTCCATATCTGAAGTGTTTGGTGGAGCAAAAATTGTCTGTACCATAAACTTGTGTTTACTCTTTTCATTGGGATCATAGTCAAAAGGCTGTAGCATTACTAAATAAGAAGAAAGGACACATTACATTGTCTTCTGCATTTGTTTGCTTCTTATTCCTATTATCTCATTCACTAACATGCAAATTCAAAGAAAACCAGGAAGGGTTCATGGAACAAAACACTGGACTACTTGCATTAAGGATCCAGAATCAACTTTATGTTTTCCAATTATTTTTAAATTGTCCACCTTTCTGATTTTCTAAGTATTTAATAACCCACAAAATAAACCAATGGCTATATATATATATATATATATATATATATATATATATATATATATCTATATATATATATATATATATATATATATATATATATATATATCTCAATCTACGATTGTCCCCTCTAAATTTAAGTTTGGGAAAATTTTCAAAACTTTACCAACATTAACTATTTTAATGCCTGCAAGCCTGGATTAAATCTAATAAATTGTCTATTAAAACTAACTACAAATTTAGGTTTCATTTTAATAGTGGTAATATCTCTTAAGATTAGACAGCTAGCATATTTAAAGGAGAAATTCTAAGTAACTTAAAAACTCACCACCATACGTTGCTGTTCTAATATAACTAATTTTTAAAAAATAGATTTTAAATAATCACCCATTCAAGAAGAGTTTATTAATTTGTTTAAACCTGATTCTAAGAAAACAAAGTATATAAGGTAACTATATGGCCTCATGATGTCTAGAAGTTTTCTAGCATCCTAATAATTATATTCAAATTTTCTAAGCATTTATGATTCTCAGTAGCATCAGTAGCCTATAAAAGAGGGTTTTTAGAGGCCCCATGTAGTTAAAAGTCATGCTAAATTATGTAATATAAATCTAATAATGAATGAACCAGCAATTATACAAAATATGTATACAAAACTGTGGAAATCATTCCTCTGCTAATACTTAGATTATTTCTAACATATACAGAGGGTACCAATAGGAAAACTGTATTAAAATTGTAAAACTCGATATATACCGATAACAAAAGATGAATACAAGTCACGTTTGACTTCTACAATTACAAGAGGTGCTCAAAGTGGTTACCATCAGCATCCAGACACTTCGGATTACGGCAATCTACTGCTTGAGCAACACTGACCAAAGTGTCCACTTGTATACATTTTTTTTGGCACCGGGGTGTGTGTGTGTGTGTGGGTGTGTGTGTGTGTGTGTGTGTGTGTGTGTCAACACTTTCAAAAAGACAAATGCAATTAAGCAAATGTGAGAAACACCAATTATATAAGAAAATCTTATTTCTAAGGTATGTCTGAGAAGTCCATCAAGCTCCATCATAGTTAAAACAAAATTTTTTTTTTTAAGGGCCAAATGCATAGTAGCAGAAAACGCACTATAAATGCCCAGAGTCCAGATAAAGCACAATAAACTTCCATTAATATCCTTCACTGAGCAATCATTGTAAGCTAATCACTAGGAAAGCTAATCACTAGGAACTGAATAAAAAGAAAACTTAAAACATGGTTGTGGCTTTATGACAAATTATACTCTAAGGGTGCAAACCATGTAACAAGAGGAAGACAAATCTTAAAAATATATAAATATGTACAAATTAAAAAAGTAAATCCATAAAACTAAGTGCTAAAGGGTGAGAGGAAAAAAATGAGTAAGTAGAGTCAATCAGGGAAAGCTGCTGGAGGAAGTGTAGAGTTTGAATGGAAAAGCACTACACTAAAAATGAGAAGAGCTAAGTTCTAATGGGAGGAGAGGAATCTGAGGGCATGCTATGCAAATAATAATTAGTGTGTCTGGAGTTTTTAATAAGTCAGATGCTCAATACAAGGGGTTTATGTGGGAAAAAGTGCCTTGAAAAGTATACATTTTCTTAATACAGTAAAACTTCAACAATCTAGAACCCTCAAAGAAAAAGTCATTCTGAATAGTTTTATGGGTTTCTAGGAATATAACTATTTGCACCAAAACCTATTTTTAACCATATGAAGAGAAATAATTCCATCTTCTTCCAATTTAGTTAAAGGCTTAAAGATTTACAGAGCAACTTCCAGAATGCATGTGTAATTGCTTTATCTTCCTATTCCCCATACATTTTTCCCATGAACTGACTGATGGCTTGGACAAACAAATATGAAAGCATTCCCCCCAGCCACCATATCACAAGACTCATTAAAAACATCTTTTGTAGGGCCTCCTACCTCTGAGTTTTTGACGTACACCTGATGGAGGACTTAGAGTCATTAAGGACTCTGACTATGGTCTGTCCTCTACTGTGTTTGCAGTCAGGTTCTACTTCTAAATACTCTTAATGGGTCTGTTCTAGGCTTTCGCTTTGTATAATTTGCTATTTTTAATCTGCTATGGGCTTGAAAATGAGAAAACTGATAAAGAATTATTATAATATCTTATCAGAAGCACCCAGGCATTTTTTTTTTTAAGGTACACATGTCTAGGCCATGCCCTCAGAGATTCTGATCTGGGAGAAGTCCATGTGTTCCTGCTCTGTGTTATTAAGACACAGAGTGAGAGTTGAGAACTACTAGAAAGTATGAGTAAATGGTCTCTGTGTGAAGCCTGAGAGGTTCTCCCATTAAGTAAGATATACTCTTTAACTTGCTTCCTATTTCCCAGCTATGTTAGATAAGATCTTTAGGGAGTACTGTCTTAGAAAATCTGAGGGAAGAAAGAAATGTTTTATAGAGGGCATTAACTATGGCACCAGCACAGACTTCACGGCAAAAGTAAACAATCCATATATGGAAGGAACCAAGTATACTCCTTGGACTCCAAGTAAACACAAAAGGGAGTAATAAAACTTAAGTTTTCAAGTTCAGGGCACTGTTGGCATTTACAATGAAAAGCAAAAATACCCATCTAATTTGATACAATCAACAAAACAGAGGCATTGTATATTTTAAGGAAAAGGTTTAGAATACTTCTATAGCTGCATGTAATATGTAATATTGGATAGAGATCTGAATTACAAAAATGATGTAATACTTCAAAGATAAAATAATAAGGGCAGAAAATGTGGTAGTGAGCTGTAGAAATAATAGATACAAAATTATAAATTGACAATTGCTTATAAATCAAGCCATCACAACATAAGGGTGAGAAATTTTCTGCAACAGTTTACAAACAGTAAGAGAACACAAGGACGGCATTAAAGGCAAAGCCAGAAAGACTTAAAAAACTTTTCTCTCCCTCCAGATGAAATCCTATTAATTAAAACCCAGTTAAAACATAATCATAAAATATCAAAATTCAAACTGCATAAATTCAGGATATGATGTGCTACCTGAAACAGTCACAGTCGACCCTGGGTCAATAATTCCACTGTTGGGCCTCACACAGTACCGACGAGGTGCTGTAGTCTTCACTTTGAAACATACTTTTCTATCCGATGGATTTCTCAATTTAAGATTTGTAGTGACTACATCTGTGAAGGGGCCTGTGAGGTTTAAAAACCAAAAACAGGAAAAAAAAAATTTAACACACACACACACACACACACACACACACACACACACACACACACAGCAGAATTCAAAATTAAAGGTATAAAACCTCAATTTTATTTGAAGTATGTATTAAGTCTATGTACATAAATAAACTAAATGACTAACAATACTTTTCTCCACGTAGTAGACTTACGAGTTTAATTTTCTTCATTCCTTACGATGTTTTACAAAATTTCAACATGAGCATGTATAATTTCTATCAAATAAAAGAATTTTAAGTTTCAATTTATGAAATAATTCAACAATTATATTCTTATAGTAGGTTAGTACGTTACTGAAAAGATCAGGATTTTCCAATGGTCTGCAAACCAGTGCACATCTTCAAATTCATTTTACTAAGCCAACTGCAAAGACCTATGTCTGAAGACACTATAAATCCAATGACAACAGTGCTCTTTCTTTAACTCAATTAGGTTTGATTCATTCATTCATTTATTCATTCACTCACATATTTGTTATTTATTAAGACCACCGTGTCAAACATCCTTCCCTAGATACAAAGTTTTTAGGCATTGGTTCTACACCCAAACAACATAAAATGGCAAAACAAGGAATACAAAAAAGGTGATCCAGTCCTGCCTGAATTAAATAAGTCTGAAACATTTTTTTTTTTTAAAGAGGGGAAAAGAAAGATTACAGCCATTTTTGCTCCTGGCTGAAGAAAATCCTAGACAAATTATACAGATTAATTTAGACAACAAAAATACCTGTTAATTTGGAGACAGAGAATAAAATTAAAAATATGTTCCAATGGGAAGCAAAAACCACACACTTCTAACACAAAAGCAATTTTAAAGAGTTTTTTTAAACAATTGGTTTTAAAAAAACTAGAAGACTGAACTCAAAGACAGCTATTATAAAGCCTATCTTTCTTTTATTTAAATAAACAAGAATAAGCATGTCTTTTAAAACTTTAAAACAAACAGATCTGCCTAATGCAACATGAGGAAAAGAAATTTCAAACACAAGGCCATTAAAAGGTACTTATTTGAAGTCCTAGTAAGTGAAATTATTTTATCATATGTTTAAAGTTTTAGAGTTATAAAATATTTTCTAATAAAGATTTGGATCTGGGATTAGAGGACAGAGATAGAAATTAGAGAATGTTAGAAGAAAATACAGAAAGGCTGAGAACCACTTACAGAAAAGAAAAAAACTTAATGTAAAACAGCCATTTAAATCAACAGGTATGCATGTCATTTTTTTGGGGGGGGAAGTATATATATATATATATATACAAGGTATATATGAAGTACAATCTTTCTAACAATTTGCTTTAATTACATGGCCAAGTTAATCGTTCAATTTTTGTATTATTTCACACCCTTTGCTTCTTCTTTAGTCCCAACTGCTTGAATTTTTGGATGAGCAGCAGATTAACAACTCTACCATATATTATTAGCATTTATGAAAGTAAAGGAGAAAACTAATCTGTCCGTTTTGCCATATGAATCCACAAAATGGTTGGCTATAAACACATTTTAAACTACTGATAAAAGTAGGAGTCTTAAAGACATAGATTCCTTTTCTTAACACTCTCAAAGTCCAAAAATTACTACAGATTATTAAAAACGTATGAAGTTTTTATAGGACTATGTCAACTAACATGCTAACATGACAAAAGAAACATTTCACAAAATTTTAATTTTGAACAATCCTATATTTTCATAACATAATTATGTAAATGTTTTTTAAGTTTTAAATTGAGTTTTTGTAATTCTCCCCAATTTACAGAAAAATACCAATTATCCAAAATAAGGTAAAATAATTAATTTTTAAAGCTGATTCAGAAAATAAACGTGTCAATTTTCATTAACATATGAATTCTGGAATAGTACTTAAACCTTATATCGCTTAGCAGGGCTTATAAATCTTCAGTAATAGGTTATGGTCCTTTCTAGACATAAAAATGCAGACTACCGACAGATGAAGATAGTATGTATAAAGAAAAAAACTCCACCAATTTAAAACAAAATTAACTGGATATGTTAGCCTTATCAAGAGAATGTAAAATTACCTATAATAAACCCACCTAATGAACGAGATTTTCTGCTCCATTGTATCCCTCTAACCAAACCTCTCAATAAGGGTAGATCCCTTATTGAGCCCATTTTCCCAGTTAAAATGGAAAATTAGCCAAGTACTGATGACCATTAGCATAAGAATAATCAGATTTAATAGTTTTAGGGGTCCTGGGAAGGAATATCAGTCCACTCTTGCGAGTCACAGAGCCCTTTGAGAATCTGATGAAAGCTTACTACCCCAGAAAAACATACACAAGCAAATATTCACAATAATTTTACATTGAATTGTTGGGAGTTAAAGGTGAGGTAGGGAGATTAAGGTGGAGGTGGGAGGCCTGGACCCCTGAAGCCTGAAGGTAAAAAAGACCTGATAAAAATCTACCTTTATAGACCAGACCCTCAAAAACAGAGGGAAAGAAAAACTATGTAATGTATTTGCTAAAAAATCATCCTAAATCCCAGGATGATATTGTCCCTATCAGGTATTTTCGCCTGACATGATTGGGTGGTGCACTTGTTGGTGGGGGTTGGGGGAGAGGAACAAGATCTTAGACATTCAGCTATGCCAGGGCAGATGCATATAGCAAAGTAGTATGCCCCAATCCCACCAAATTTTCAAATATCCCCCAAAAATTCATGATTAAATTTATCTTTTTCAGAAATACATCTATTGTGTAAAAGAGGAAAAAATTGTTCTTTCCTCCAAAACTTTAAAAGGTGAGCTCACCATTACAGAAAATTATTCTACCAACAGCAATGTCACACTCATGATACTTGAATCAACAATACAACATAGCTGTATCAGTGGACATTTTTAGGTGACACATTTACGTGATATTTATAAATATTATTTTGCCCTTATTTCAAAATGTTAAAGAAAACTGGTCAGTTCTCTATTCAAGTAAATCTTGCCTTACTTTTCTTAAATGCAAGCTTATTTGTTAGAAGTAGGTTACAAGCATCTTGCTACTTCATTGTATCTTCTAGTGTAGTCATGCCCAAACATTTACACAATCAAATGCATATTTCATTACAAATTAACTTTCTTTTTATTTCTCCCTTATATTATAGTTAGGGAATTATACTGTTAATTATGTATGCTGACAGGTAATTTTATTCATGAATTTTATTTCAGAATGGTAAAGAGAACATTACAAAATATATTAAAATAGGATGTTGCATCCAATAGGGTTAAAAAAAAAAAAACCACTGGATTATAGCAATAATCTAATTGAATACTTATACTCTGCAATGCTTAGGTGGTTAAACCATTAAGAAAAACAAGTAAATGGTTACAACAAAAGCCAGGGTTGGCCAGCCAAGTGGCTCAGTTGGTTAAGAGCGTGAGCTCTGGGCAACAGGGTCTCCGGTTCAATTCCCACATAGGCCAATGAGCTGCGCCTGAGCTGCCAACAGGTGGCAGGATGGCTCAACTGGTGAGAGCATATGCTCCTAACAACAAGGTTGCTGGTTCAACTCCCACATGGGATGGTGGGCTATGCCCACCCACAACTAAGATTGAACACACCTTGAGCTGCCAGCTGCCAACAGGCCACTGGATGGCGACTGCACTTGGAGCAGAGCTAGGTGCACCCTCCACAACTAAGATTGAAGAACAACTTAGCTGTTCCCCAATAAAATCTTTAAAAAAAAAAAAAGCATCCAGGGTTAACTTAATAGGGAAAGGAGGTAGTAACTGGGAGAGAGTACAAGGAGGGTTCTGGGATGCTGGCCTAGTTCTGTTTTGTCCTGAGCAGTGATTACATACATGAGCATTTACTTTTGATAATTCCTTAAACTGTACATATTTTTCCTGTATGCAAGGCGATAAATGTTTTTATCTTTTTAGAAAAGCTGATCTTTGATGTAACCTTAAAAAAAAAAAACAGTGGAAAGCAGGGATTTATTTCCCCAATTTTGTTGAGATGTAAAGCAGTTTTGATGAGAAAGTCAATCATTTAAACCAATGTATACAGAAAATAAACACTCATGTTTTGAAGATTTCGAAAATTCAATCCCTATGAATGAGGAAAATCCTGTCTTTGTTCAATATAAATGCATAGTTTAACATTTAGAATCAATTATTACAATAATCCATTTTAAGATTACCTGACAGTCAGGTATACTAATCACCAACCACAAGTACCATCTGATACATACTTCCTATATTAGAAATGAAATTTCACTGTTTATATGTAATAATATTCCATATAAAACAAGAAAACACCATATAATTCAGGTTACATTTATTTTACTGAGAAAGAAAAAACTACAGTCAAAATAACTCTATCTTGTAATTACATTGGTTGTCCTCCTTTAGTCTCCCTTTTAAAGAGTCATAACATTTCCTGTCACTAAGTATTCTGCCCTAACTCAACTACAAGTTGTTATTGCCAGTAAGCCAAAATCCTATTTCCAGCCCCATATTCTAACAATCAGGCAGAAATGTAACATATAGAAATATGGCCTCTGTGTAATGAGGCTTGGACACATGATTGAATAAACTTGGAACCTGAAATTTCAAAAAGGTAGGAAAAGTTTGGGGCAGCTCACCCAGAAGACTGCCCTTCCTCCTCTGCCTAAAATAATATATTTCCAGCATGAAACACCCTTTATATTCATGATGTATACCAAAAATTCTAGCATTCAGAGCAATGATTTCCTGTTAAGTAGCGGGACCTTTATTCTCCAAACCTCCCAATCTTAAAAGGAACCTTCCCATTATGCTAAAAATAGTACCACTTTGACTAAACAATTTTTTAAATGGTTATCATCCATCCTTATTTTGATATGAATTGCCGTTAAATTTTCTTGAAATGCCAAGCTGAGTTTAGTTGCAAAGAAAATTCACTTGGGGAAAAGAAAGGACAAGAGCAGTTAGCTTTTCCCCTAACATTTTGAAAACT